AATTGTGTTGTCGGCTATAGAAGCTATAGGAAATCTTACAGCCGGCTGTAGGTCTACGGTATTTTGGAACACAGATTCTACTGCCAATTTTTACCAGGGCGGGTTTTTTTGTGATAGGTTTTCGATCCGTATGAGCACTTATTTTTCTGTTCACTTATTGTAGTAGGAAGGGTAAAAGCAGTGGTAATACGTTTAAACAAGACCGAAGATTTTGATACCACTATTCAAACTCTTGAGAGCGCATATTGCCTATATCCTCTTAAATGAAGGATAATCAAACGCAAGAAACTGCATCACAGACGATATTTCCCAGAGCAATCTTTTCGACATTTCATTCTCCGAAAATAAGAGCTGTACAGTATTGAAATCAGCAACATTAGATTGTTAAAGTTTACTTTAAATACGTTTCCTTTTTTTGCCTATGTATTTAAAACTCGCTCCCCTCACGTTGAATGGGCTTTAGTTAAATTATACGGAAAGTGTAACGTGCGTTATAGTAAATCTTACTCCACCACAAATACCCATAGATTTCATTTAAATTCCACATCCGAATTGGAAGTTTTCATTTGCTTTATGTCACGTGAACTTCTAACAATTTGCGGTTCGGGTGAATGAACTAAGAATGCTTATTGTTGGCATTCCGATAAAATGTTAGCCTTTTTAACATCATAGACAATGGAACGCTCTTTCGCTCAAAACAACGCGAAGAACAATGTAAGAGTGAATGAAGTTGGGTCCGAACCCAACATGCAACTATTTTAACTCTCCGATGAGCCGGGTTGCATACTCTAGATTTCGTGGGCGGAACATGAGATTCGCATACGGCCCGCGCGCACTTGCGCGTATAATCTTCCATTGTTTCACGCTCAGTGGCCAGTGCATAATTCAAATGCCGAGTTCATCTTTCGGAAAGCATCTTAGTTTGGTAATATCGCGTTACAGATCTGTGCGACAGAGGTGTCAAAATAGTTGATCGAAATTGACGTCACGCCAAGGGTGAACGCAGATTGTACCCCGTGCGAAAGCCATGGACAGATCTCAGATTTCGCCCACAAAATCGAGCTTATGCAACCCGGCTCACCGCGGAGTTAAAATGGTCGCATGTTAGGTTCGAACCTAACTTCGCGAATATTCTTCCATTTTTGCGCTGTGCACATTATTCAAATGCCGAAAAGGGATTTGAATAATGTGCAAGTAATGTGTGTGTAAACGAAAGGCATCTCAGTTGGTTTATGTCCCGTTATTTTGCTCTTTTTTCTTCCTTGACTGAGGGGTCTAAAGGAAGTTAGAGGGGACATTCTTGATGACTTCAATTCAAAAGGGGCTAAGGGAAAATGACGAAATGAATTGAAACAGAAAATCGTGTTACTTTTGATAGACTGGAATATTACTTATCCCGCTTCACTTGGATATGACGAGAGCCTAAAATATTAGTTTCTTATCGGAAAATGTAGTCTAATTGCTCGATTCTCGTCTCATCATTTTCTCATTTCTTCAAACTTTCTCGATAATCCACATCAAGCTGGCAGTGACATAAATCTTCGGGGGTTGGCCGCGGAACTTTTATAAAATCGGTCGATTTTTTATCATCCAAACGATACCTAGGACAGGGTGTCTAGTTTTTTACTTTCTCGTTACCCTAGTTTCCATTTGGAGAAGTCTTGATGAAATCCTGATTTTTCCTGATTTTTGACTGCTAAATCCTGACTTTTGGCGGAGAAACTTCAGCTTCACAAAAATAGCTCAATAAAAAAATTCGATCGGACGGCCGACTTTTCTCAAATCCTGATTTTACGACCGATTTTTCCTCAAATCCTGATGAAATCGGAATTAATTCCTGCATGATTAACATCAAATCCTGATAGAATCGGGAAAATCCTGATGCTAGACACACTGTAGGAGTCTTTTGGACGATTCACTGGAAAAAAAAACACTTTGGATCTAGAGTCCAGACTCTTGAAAATACTGACAAGAAAAAATACTCTTGATTCAATGACATTTTTGCTTAAATCGAAAGGAAATCCGCTCAAAATAAGAGGCTTGGTTCTTGAGTTAAGCTAAAATCCGATTGAATCAAGAGTGTTTTTTCTTGTCAATGTTTTTAAGAGTCCGGACTCTAGATCCAATGTCTTTTTTTGTCCAGTGTTAGTGGTAATTTGAAAAAGAACGGAGGCTTCCTCCAATAAAATTTTCCGGTCAGATGCTTCTGAGCCCGTTTTCTCAAAACTTCATTTTTACACTTACTGCTCTCTTCTCTATCACGGCAGTAACGGCCCATTGAAACATAGTCCAATTTTCAGGCGCTTTAAATTCAGACTTGCAGCGCGGAGCGGGCCGGCTTACAGTTTACAGCTTACTCGCGAAAGTTCGTTTTTCCCCGTCCCTATCGGCGTCCGCTTTGGGCTCCTTCGTTCCTTTTCTTCGTGGGCCGGAACCGGTAAACGGATTAGTCCCCGTATCGGCGTGTTCCATGCATTCTCGGTGCATCGATTCGCATGGACGGGCTTCTTGAAGGCCCGGCCTCAGTCGCCCAGCTTTATCACACAAAACCGCTCCAGATCCAAAACGGAGTAGTTCAAAATTCGCAAACGGAAAGTTTGTCTTGGGCGTAGCTGCGGGAGGCCACGCCTACTGGCCCCCCAGAAGCTCCAAATATCCACTTGCCCCCCCCCCCTCCCCTACCAGTAACGAGTTTAAAAACTCATAAAAAACTGTCGGGATTTTTTGGAGTTGACTCGTAAAAAACTTTTGACGAACACGAATGAGGAAATCTGTTTACTTTTAGCCCCGGTTATTTCGATATTTTGCGAAATGCTCGAGTACGTTTTCAGCCGTGTCTGATGAATATTTGAAGCAAGTATTTCGAATCTCGTATTGATAATGAATATATCAATTTTAGTGATAGACTAACTAATTATGCTAATTTTCAACACGCATTCTACATAAATTTCGCGTAAAATACTCTACATTTCAGTATATTTGAAGGGTTTTTCCCATTATTCCGATGCAATAATTTTCCTCTCTCTCTTTCCATTTTTTTGGTTCCAATTGTAAGTCATCGCCGGCAGGGGTGTCCACCAGGAGACACATAGCTCCCAAAAATTTAAAAAAAATACTAAAAAAAATTCTTCATTTTTATAAGAAAGTATCGAAATAAATGAAAGGATGTACTTACAAAACCCACCGTTTTTCTGAAATTCTGAGAGGACGTGCCCACCCCTCTGCCGCCAAACTTACGCAAACATTTTGTATTTTCTCACCTTTTGTGTCAGGAGCAGGCAGATTCTTACTTCACGATGAATTGTAAATACCATGATATTTATTTATTCATCTGTTCACCAGTAGAAATATCCGTGCTTAGCACGACCTGCAGGGTACATTCACTGGAAAAAAAAACACATGGGATCAAGAATCCAGACTCTTAAGAACATCGACAAGAAAAAGTACTCTTGATTCAATCAGAATCTAGCTTAAATCAGGAACCAAGCCTCTTAATTTAAGCGGATTCAAGCTGAAATCCGATTGAATCAAGAGTATTTTTTCTTGTCAATGTTTTCAAGAGTCTGGACTCTAGATCCAATGTGTTTTTTTTTTTTTTTTTTNTTTTTTTTTTTTTTTTTTTTTTTTTTTTTTTTTTTTTTTTTTTTTTTTTTTTTTCAGTGTAGTTTCGTCGCATTGAAAAATTAAGTATACATGAAAATCAACTTTAACTTGACATTATAAAGCCAACGATTAGACAGCACTGTGCAACACATAAGGGTAAAGCGAGAGTGAAAAAGGCATTGCATTTTTTGTGCGTTCGTTGTCGGGGCTGTGCAGGGGTGGCAAAACTACTGCGCGCAACTATTCGTGCTCCCAAGTCGCGCATGTTGCCATCACAATAATTGAAGGCGAACTCGACTGTAAGAGGGACACATAATACGGACAAGAATTGGACTACATTTTTCAAGTAGGAACTATAAGTTCCGGCCCGGTTCAAAAACAACGTATGTGACATTAGTTTCCCTATGCACATAAGTGTTTATTCAGACGAGTCAGAATGTATAGGTCCAAATTGCAAAATGCAGTCCAATTGGCGTGTGTTACTGCGTTTCTTGCCGGGACTGAATAAAAGCAAAAACTGTGGTGGTGGTAACACGACTAATCCCCCCCCCCCTCCACGAAAGAACGTAACTAAATGTTAATGTTGCTAAATTTCCACTTGCAAATTGCGTTTTAACCAGGAGATTCCTGGGAATTTTTACCTGAAAATTTCACCGATTTTTCTTCTAATTTCGTAGAAATCGGAAAAATTTTCGACAATTTTGCAGGGAACGTTTTTGGAAAAAACTGAATTGTTTGGGTCAATTTTGCAACCTTGGAATGGAGTTACATTCCTTCGTATGAGAAACGACACAACTAGTAAAATTTGACCTGATGTCTGCAACGTCGCAATCCAAAATGCGTCGTCGCCGAAAGTTTCGCCGTCGAAACAGAGATACATAGCCCCCCTCCGCCCATCCCAGTCGCGAATTTCGCCCCATAAATGAGATTGCAGGCCCCCCCCCTCCCTCCCTGACGCGTCGTCACAGGAAACGCGGGAACTCCGGGACATCATGACTTCCGGTCGACGGTCCGACGGTTGTTTTTACGTAGTTCTGATTTGAAAATTTTATCTCGTGTTTGCTTCCTCTCCATTTTCACTGATGTTTGTGTGCGATGAAGTAGGTAGCGCTTAAAAAAACGCGGGCGCGAAAAAGAGAGGGAGGCGTATCGTGCCGGGATTGAATTTCTCGGGACGGGGTTTTGACGTAGTGTCGGGTTGGGGGTCAAAGGCTTATCTACGCACAACTAATAGAGCTCGAGACGCACTGGTAATTATGCAGGGAGAACGTATTATTGATTATTGATTTTTTGTGATAACTCATCACGGCGGACGGAAAAAATCCACGTATCTGTAAACAGGCTATAACTCTTTTAACTGGAGCAGCGAGAATCCGAACGTGTGATGTTGCAAGATATTTTTTGTCTCTTTCTTCGCGTTATGTTTTTTTGTCTCTCTCGTTTTGTTCTCTTTTTCCCCATTTTGTTCCAATTATGGACAGCGAATAAAAATCTCGTAACTTGAGTGGTTTCTTTTCGCGTCTGTATTATTTAGTTGCGAGCCTAAATTTTGGTGACGTGTGGACAATGCGCGCTTTAACTTGAAACGTTACTTATCGCGTTGTATTGTGCTCCGCGCTGTTTTCATTTTTCACGCGGCTTTTCGGGAAAATAATGACGTAATCGCGCGAAAAACGATGAAAGATAAACGCGGGCCTCGGACGCTCACTCAATTAAGTTCAAATTTCGTGTTCACATTGGAGAGGAAATTTTATTGGTCCTCCCCCTATTAACTAATATGGCGCAGGCCGAAAAGGAAAAACGCCGCAGCTGCAAATTCATACCCGAATGGATGTCTAGAGAGGAATTTTCATCCTGGCTCATTTCCGTGGACTATGATAAACATAAGGCTTATTGTCTTTTGTGTAAAAAGTTATTTCCTGTGAGCCATGGCGGTCTCCATGACGTAAAAGCCCATGCTAAGGGGAAACGGCACATTATACTACAACAGCAACACCAACAATCACAACTCCAACTGGATCGCCCGAATTTTATCGATATCACACCATTTTCGAATTTGTGCACCGAGGTACGTCGTGTCCTCCGAAATTTTGGAATTATTTTCTCATTTTGAATTCGGTCGTCCTGTATTTCGAATCCGTTGCGCTTCTCGCTGTTGAGTTAATGACCTCTTACTGCCTATTCGATCGGGTGAAAGTCTTCGTTCGGTAACATGGGTTCTTTCTGAGTGTTTTCCTTGTGACTGTCGTCTTTCTGGGACGAAATATTACCGTAAGCTGCAATTGTGGTTATTTTTGTGTGAAATTTATCGTTTAATTTTATCAAGTGTGCTTTTATTGTGCAACGAGCGGCTGGATTCGTGAATTGGAGGCTATGCCATTTTGTCTGAAGTCTGTGACTCCCTTGGATTGTTTTTATTATGGCCAAGGGTAGTTTTACTCACCCACCCTATCATTTTGGATAATTTTTCGTGTGTAGTGCGTGGAATTTCTTCGATTTTAACTTATCTTAGTGTCGAATTTCTTCCCATTGAATATTATCAATGTCGATAATTCTTCTTGTGCTCTGAGTTTCGGTGTGGTTCTTTATCTACTCATTTTGTTTTTGTAGAATCCTAATCATCAACCCTAAAGGCTCTTGTCTATTTTACCCCAAGCCCATTATCAATCCATTTTGAAATTTTCAAGTTTTAACCTTTCCTGCATTTGCTGTCGCGCTCCAATCAGGTATGAAATTTTTGTTCGCTTTTGATAAGTCTCAGGATGCTTCTCATTTTAATTACTGCAAGTGAAATAAATGATCAACATAATTTTGTATGAAACTTTGAGAAAGATTTTCTCTGAATCAGGTTATGCTTCCGTAGTGAGTGCAGTATGAGACCATCGCTGGGGTACTATCAGTGACAATGGGCACAATTTCTGTCTGAATCCATTCGATAATTCATCATCAGAAGAGAATACACCAATTTTACCGTTGCAGCAGTACTTGCTAATACTCTTTATTTTTACAATCGGCATTTCAGTAAGATTCACTCATCACTCTGAGCTGGTGACTTCGTGGTCTAATATCATCTTCTTTGCCGTCACATTTTTGTTTCGATTTGAAGGTTATTTTTAAAATGAGCAATTTTTTAATTAGTTTTTTAACCTCCACCCTATCACTTTCTAGGGATACAGTTCTCTGTTATTTTTATGTTCCATTGCAATTTGTTCCTTTGGAGGCGAATGCTCAGCGAGGAGCCCTCCAATTATTCACAGAATTTGATGTCATACAGTCATGCTCATTGATGTTTCAGTTCTGATCAAAAGAATGTTTTAAGAGCTTCCATTTTCCCAGTTGGAACCCATCAAATTCAAAATGATGAGGTAACCATGAAGAAATATTTTTACGTACTCTTGAATGGTCTCCTGCATAGGGTGATTTCCTGAGCGATTCTTTGTTTTGTTGTTTTCACTGAAGGCGATTCTTATCCATCATATAATTTTCTGAAGTTGGAAAGCTCTAAGTACCAGGCTCACAGATCAAAGAGCTGATTATTAAGTGATAAAAATGTTGAGTCTTATCACGGTGTGGTACCAGTTGGCATCAAGTAATTTCACCAGTACTTAGCTGCCAAGCTTGTCAAATTTACTGAAGAGCCAGTTTGGTTCTTCAATAGGCAATTAAAATTCACTCCAACTTATCAGTTGTTTGTGACTCAGTGTGATACTGATCACGAAAATTAATTCAAATGACAGTCGCTCCATTTTTCCGTGTCCTTACAACTAAGAACTTCCATTCCTTACTGACTCAGTGAATATGCCATTGTTGAGAGTCACTCAATTCCTAAAATTCTTGCTTGAACTGCAAGCTCCTCCGGCAAGATATAAGTATTTTTTACTAGTTGGCGCAGGTTCCGATTTTCCCCTGCATTCTTAGAACTTGTCTGAGTCATCTGCCTTGATGGGCAGCTGAAATTGTAGAGGTTATTTTCAAGTATATTGGTAGAGCTTAATTTACTTGGAGAAGATTCACAGAATCACTTTTTCATAGAATCCCACAATTGATTTATGGCAGTGTGAAGGTTTCGATAGATACATTAAGTTTGACACAGTCTCGAAAATTTCACTGAAACGCTCCTCTTAAAGTGGATAACTAGAACTTTCTGGCATGCCTGATTTGTATTGTTTTGGATTATGTAATAGTGGATATGGCGGATAGACTTCTGTATTTGCATTTGTCGAAAATTGGTATTCATTGGCCAATCTTAAGCCTTAGGATCACATTTGGATTGTTGCTTGTACTTAGGGCTTGTTCAATCCGAAATCCATGCAGCCAACTAGACGTCCCCTAAGTACTTAATTCGTCCCTAACATTTTTAAATTGTCATAACAGCTTGGTTATTCCTGTTTACATACTTCAGTAATTTTATACCCAACAGATTACTCATCTTATTGATGCAGATGATGCAGTAATGTAATGATTCAACCTCACCTCTAATCCAAGCATCTCAGTGGCAGCTTTTCCATATTTCCACGCCCACTTCAATTTTAGAAGGCAACTAAATGCATGTAATCGGCTTAAATTCTCAAAGGATGACAATGAAATGATGAAAATACTCAAATGAAATTTAAAGCCTGAAGTAATATTGATTTGTTCTCTCTCAAAAAGAAATAAGCGCAGACATTTTGGATTGTTGCAATTGAGATTTGCGGTTTCAATATTTGCATGTGTTTGTGCTGGATGGCTCAAATATTACAGCAATGATAACCAATCATATTTTTGTAAGCAGTTCTTTAAGGTGTTTTCAGAGTGCAAAAAAAAAAAAAAAATCTTGAAGAATCTCATTCTCTACGAATGGTTGCATCCAAGTCAATAGTGCTTTAACTTCTTGCCAAATTTAATTTGCTTTAAGCAGAAAAGAACCAAGCCACATCAGCTATTGCCAGATATCAACTGGGCAATTTAATTTTTTACAAGAGAACAATTGTGCAGATGCCTTTGAAATTGTTAATGAGTTTGCTTCATACTATGCAGAGAATTAACTGAAATTTACTCAAAAATCCACACAATCGTTTTCACGTGAAAAACAATTTCCCTATTAAATTTGGCAATACCTGATGTGGCTTAGTTCCTCTCTGCTTCAAGCGGTCCATTTGATTGTTAGTGTGCATTTTTTGTCACTGCCAAAAATTAACAGAAGTTGAATCTCTCGTATTACCTAGCTCTCTTCCCTGTGCTAACTTCTTTATTCTCTACTTTCAGAGAAGTTCGAAGGAAATAGAATTAGTGGGAGACTCTCCAACGGAGGAACGTAGCAATAAAAGCTGGTCGAAAAGTGAACCAGAACAGAGCCGCTCTCCAGGAGCCGGTGGTGGTGAGCAAAACCAAGGCAGCGCAATGGCGGGCCTGGAGCTCTACTGTCTGCGCTGGAAGTACCACCACTCGAATCTCCAGACCATGTTTTCACAGCTGCTCGAGCGTGAGAGTTTCTGCGATGTTACACTGGCCTGCGAGGGGAAAACATTGCGAGCGCATAAGGTAAATTTTCTCCTATTCTGCACTTTCAACTTGCCTTTGCATTTGATCCAATCAGATGCAGATGTGATCCAATCAGATGCAGATGTGATCCAATCAGATGCAGGTGGTTTTAGGAGAAAAGTTGTTTCGAAGTCTCCTCACCAGGCTGGATCGTTTTTTTATTATTTTATCTTGGTACCTTACTATTTTTATAATATTAACTATTTAAAGAACCAAGGCATTATATTAATTACTGATTACACAAGTGGTAAATAAAGCAATCAGTAATTAATACATTGACTAGGTTCTTTAATTAATTAATGTTAAGTAATGGCATTGTTACAGCACAACTCTATATTTTCATAAGGTTTATGCAAAGAATATGCTCTGTGGAGGTCATTTGATGCTGAGAGATTTTGAAAGAAAAGTGTCTGAAATCCGAAAATTATCAATTGATGATCGACTATTGAAAGGTTCTCCTAAGTAAGCGCCGAGGAGGCACCTTAAAACGACTTAATAAACTAAATCGTCTTGAAAAGATATAATATCTGATTGTTGGTTAAGAAAAATATAGGTTGTCTTCCATTCAAAATCTTTCATTTCTGTTGCAAAAAACAGAAATTGGCAGCCAAAATCTTTTTTTTTTAACAATTTGCTGTCAGTTTTTAGGTAGATATCAGAAAATTTAAAGGTGGGAATGTTTTTCACAGCAAAAAGTTTGTCTGATTGAATTATGATTACTTTCAACACTCATTCAGTATGGACTTCAGGGTGTCTTCAAGTCCGGAATTTCTGGAAAGTCCGGAAATAGTACTGATTTTTTAAGGGCGGTCCGGAAGTACTGAAAAGTTGCCAAAATTTCACAAGGAGGTCTGGAATTTTGTTCATTTCTAAGCGAGAAATTCAAATTTTTGAAATTTTCCGAACTTCGTCAAATGAAGGTACTGAAAAAGTACTGAATTTTTCTATTGAGGATGTACTGAATTTCTTGGGAATGTACTGAAAGAGCACTGTAAAAGTACTGATTTTTGGCCAGCCTGTTTTAGTAGACACTCTGGACTTAACTCCAGTTGAAAAATCTCCTGAAAGAACACCGGGTTTGTTTTAAAGTATTTCATACAGTGTCCCAAATAGAATGGCAGAAACTGTAGAAATCGATTCTATCAACCAAAAACTTCCTCATTCCAAGACATTTTCTGTTTGTGCCATTTAACAGGAGGATTTGATTTCTTAAAGTTTCAGAAATATTTTAAACTGCCTCCACTCGTATCAACAAAACTAAATGCAATTTTTGGGTCAGGTGATATTTTCATGCGCTTTATCCACTTCTGATGGAGAAAAAGTTAAGATTGAAAACATGGAGGCTTCGGAGGGCCCCTCTGAAAATATATTCCTCTTTAAATAGTCAAAATGAAAAATTTGTCAGACCAAAATAGCCTTATTTCAGTCTAAAAAATCGATCTCCAAAGTCTCTGTCATTACATTTATGACATCATGTACTGAAATCTTCAACAACATCCCAAAAATTGATTTTGATATTTGTTAGCCTTGCATGTACTCTCAATGTTTTCCTATGCTCAAATCCCCTCTCATAGAAAAAAGCAATCGGAGTGGAAAATTTTCTAAATCGAAATTACATTGAGTCACAGATTATCTCCTTCGAAATGAGCCAAGATTTATTGGATTATCTCGCCTCCTTGTGCACGTGTGGAAAGTCAAAAGTGTCGGGTTTTATCAAAAAAACAAATTTTAATCTTTTTCAAGAGGAAAACATCTCCGTCACTAATTTGAGTAAACAGGTCGGCTGTCAAATATTTATTGGATGAATTCCAGGAATTTCAGGAAAAGAATATGCGTGTCGGTTTCTCCTCAAAATGCTCTTCAAAAGTTATTTTTTTGCGTTCGATTTTCAAAGATCAACTCGAACAAGTACCCAAGCATTGGATGAGATTAAAAAATTATCAGAAAGTTGAAAGTTCAAGCACTCTTGTCTAATTTTTTTTTCTTTTCCCCCATCCACCTCAGGCCCCACTCATCCCCTCTTCTTGCTCTCATCTGCCAGTTTATTGTTTCTGGAAAATATTCCCTTTTTTTTTTCTTTTTTCATTTTGAAATCGAAGGGGGGCATAGAAAGAGAGGAGAGAATCAGGAAGAAGAGAGCTAACTTCTATCACATTTCATGAATCATGAATATTACTTAAGTGTTTCAAAATAGAAAATGGAGATAACAGTTCAAATTATATCTCAAGCACTCCACGTGGAAAGAGTTGATCTCTTGTTTCACGTACATTTTCTGCTTTAAAATTTCTTCCCATTTTTAGTAGAAGTTTAAGTAGAAGTTGCCTGAAGAAAATTTTGGGTAGGGAAGGAGGGCTCTGCTTTCAACAGCAATGAATGAACAATTTTATACTGAATCAAACATACAATGGAAAAATCACCATCTCCATAGTTGAATAGAAAGTTCTGAACGCTTTTCAGTTTTCATACTATATTTCTTTGCTGCCTTTCAAGATTTTCGAAATCTGCTTGTTGATGTGTTAAGTTTTAATTTTTTTATGGCCTTCTCCCTTAGAAAAAATTTAGGAATTCAATAATCCTATCATATTTGCAGTGAAGTTTACCAAAATTACCACGGCCAGGAAAAATTTGAAAAAGTCAGAGATTTATGAGGTTTCAGGATAAGAACTCATCAATTTTTGTGATGTAGTAAAAAGGATACCTTTCAGTCAAAAGTTAGGATATTATGACTTATTAAGTCTCAAAAAACCAGTGAAAAGTTGGGGAACTTTTAAATTTGACTTTTTTTTCACATTTTTTCCATAAAGATCTGTTTTCATGAAAAGTTAAAATCTTATATTTTTTTTTTGATCCCATATGTTTCGATTTGGTTTTTTAGATCCTTCCACTTCTCCCCCTCCCCTCAAAAAAACCTCCTTCATCTGCTCTATGTCAGGTTATGACAGCCTTGAAGAATCTGGTATGAAATGTCAAAAGTAATATCGATGTTTTGCCCCTGAATTTTACTTTTAACTTTTAAATTGTTTTTTTTGTTGTCTTGCCAGAACTCCCCGCTGAAAATTTGCAAGACCCAAGATCATTTCAGTAAACAAAACTTTGACCTGGTGAAAGCAAATCATACTATATTTACATAACATCTCCTTTTTTGTGCCCTCTTAAAAATAGGCAGAATGGATGAAATGAGCTTACTGTTAATTATGATGCAAACATTAGAACTGCTGTCACTCTTTCCTCATGGCTTTTTCCTCCTAAGGCAACGTTGCCTGCTTGCATTAAAATGTCTCTATTTCTCTCATTTTACTTTCTCCCTTGTTAAATTTGGTCATCAACTTAGCGTATCTGACAGTTAATGCTCTTTTCCTCTTGAAGATGAGTATTAGATAGGATACATGTCTAGGACACTATACAACTCACCCTAAAAATATGGCTCAGGATTCTTTCATATCATCTCTCCAGCTCTGCATGCATTCTTTTATAAATTTGACTGGGTAGCATGATCTAGCTTGACATGATTGAAATGAAATTTTCAATTGCAAAGTATTTCCCAGCACAGTGGTATGGCTTCACATTTTTATATGAGATAATCAACGGAGGAAATGGAATGCTGGCTGGATCATGCAGGAATTAAAAGGGAACAAAAGTTTCATAGAAAAAAAGGTTGTGTAGACCTTTTAGAAAATGATCGGTTTAAATTAATGAGTGGATCTCTACAGGTCTGGAGAATGGGAAATAGCAGGACTTGCCAGGGAATTTTATGAGGTTAAGAAAATCAGGGAAACTTCATGCAAAAGACCGGAAACCTGAAAAATGATCAAATTTAAAATCAGAAAAAACATCAGCGTCATTCACACAATCAAGTTTGGTTAGGGGCTCAATACTCTAAGTTTCAATCTGAATAGTGATCAGGGGAAAATTTCTTTGAAAATTTATTTTTGTGAAGCACAATCAGAATTTTTCTTGCATGGCTTATCTGAATTTTTTTCCGATACCTGCATCTTATTTTTTCCATTTTTGTTTGCAGGTCATGTTATCTGCTTGCAGCACGTACTTTGATCACATATTCTCACAACACGAAGAGAACAACCCTATTGTAATTTTAAAAGACGTTAAGTTCGCTGATATCAAAGCTTTGGTGCATTTCATGTATAAAGGAGAAATCAATGTCGAAAATGTGAGTAATCATCATATCAATCATAAGGCTTTTTGAATAATATGTAATAAATTCTCTAAGGTATGTTATCTTAATCTCTCTTTCCTATTGTGACTCAGAATGTATGTACACAACCCTTCCCCCTAAGGATCCTCTTAAAAATTACCCAGCCAACAAAATGAGTGCAAAGAAAACTGTAATAGCCCTTGACACATCTAAAAAGATAAACCATGCATAAATGTGGGAAACAATTCTGAGAATAATCATAAAACCTGAAATGTTTCGGCTGATCCCATAATCATCATCAATCAGACGTAACTAAAACAAATTGAAAACTATAAAAGTCAATTAAAACCTGTATGACTTGTGAAAATAAATTACTGATTACTTATAAAGATTATGTTAGGTCAGTATTGAATTATTATAGTCCATTTCAGATTACTTTTCCTCTTTTGCTGTATGCGCGGGATAGGGAATTACATACATACAACAAAAGTGGAATAGTAATCTGAAATGGACTCCAGTTATAAGAAATTTCTTTTCTGTGGACATACTGGTTTTGTTCTATTCTCATAGGTATTTTAAAGTTTTTTCTTTTGTTTTTGTCTGATCGATAACAGCTGTGTAATTTTCAGTAACAGTAGTTTTAGGAGCTTTTCACCTTTTTTAAACTTGTTTCCTGCTTTTTAGTTTAGATTTTTATTTATATTCTCTTGAAACTGAGCTCCAGTGAATTATGATGGACCAAGAATATCCTGTTTTACATGCATCATCTCTGTACATCTGTTTCTTGGTTGATTTTGTAAGAAGAGTATCACCAGACATTTTTTTACCAAATTTTTCAGGAAATATATTTGAAAATACAAGAACAAAAATGCCAAGAACTACGCAATACTTGACAATGATCAGTCGTCCCTTAAATAAGTAAAAAATTACAGGAGGTCAGCATCAATAACAATTTCAGTTTTATTATTGATGCATTGGTACCTTAATTGGTCACTACTGTTCTTCAGTTTTACTTGAACTATTTAAAAAAAAACCACTTATAAAACCATCGGAAGTGGAATAGTGCATTTTGCAAATGATACAAATAACGCTGTTAGATTTTAAAATGAGCGCATCTTTCGAGGTTATTCTACAGTTAAGAATTTAGTTTTTTGTGCTTCTCAGTAACCTGTCTGTTTGATTTTCCAGTCTAATCTATCATCATTACTCAAAACTGCGGAAGAGCTGCGTATCAAAGGTCTAGCCGAGGTTTCGTGGCGAGAAATGTCAGAAGACGAGCCAGCAACGAAAAAACCGAGAGTCGAAAGGACAGAGAACTCACAGGCGCAGCACCAATCATCACAACAGTCAAGCCAGCAACAGGAGCAAGGATCAGGACGGCAATCATCACATTTTAGTCCCAAAGTAACGTCCGTTTCGGGCAATGTGACCGACTTTAAGGTAGCTTTACTAACCGCACCCTGCTTTAACTAACTGTGGAAAATCAAAGGCTCATGACTTGTTAAGGAATCGAAACGCTAAGTTCATGTTCTTTCGTTCATTCAAACTGGGCTCTATTGGCAAAAATCTTCATTTTGTTTATTTAATTATTTATTGATCTAATTTTAATCCAAATTTACAATGCAATTACTAACTAATAAAAAGGAAAATACTTATAAACAGAGAATAATGAGAAAAGAAAAACAAGGAACTACCCTAGTGAAAAGGCGGACATGAGATTGAAATATCCTCTAATTAATTCATGAAAAAATACCTCCTTTTAAAGAATAAAATTGGATAAAGAATGAAACTCAATAACATTTTAAAGGAGAAACAGAGTTGTTTTTATGAATTCACGGTCATATCATGAACTTTTCATTGCAACTTAGGGGAATGGGATGCAAAATTTTAATGAATGGATAGAGTTAACATCTTTACTAAGGGCTGAGATTTTGTGAGGATTGCATGAAAAATTTTTCCACTCACAAGAGTGTCCATCCATAGATTTCAGGGCCATTAAAAGCTTTTTAACGTTGAAAACCTTGCACCTTTGGTTGAGGGGAAATGATAATCCTGCCCTTGTACATTTTCTCACTAAGCCTATTGTCCAAGGAAGTCCAATGGTATACCTAATATCAAGCCTTAACCTGCTTTGGAAGAAAGTTCTATTTCTTAATAGACTGCTTGAAAAGGTTTGAATTTAAGCATCATGAGATTTGTTTCTCTATCAAAATTCTACGTCAAACATGAACAGTGTAACAAAAATTACTGCGGTCAACTACCATTCAAGATATTAAAGTTTTTTTATGCACAAATTAAAACTTTCTGCGCATAAAAAAACCATAATCTACCTCAGGTGAATCGCGCACTAAACATTTCCGTAATAGTCTCTGGGGGATGAACATGAGGCAACCTCAATCTTGACGCTTCGGCTCAGCTGTCGATTGTTGTTGACACTTTGGACAACACAGAGCAAGAGTGGAACTGTTCATTAAGGAACCTGCCCAAATAGCTGCAGTGCGTGATTTGATTCATGTAGACTCAGGTTTTTCTCGTGATGTGAATGAGAGATTCAAATTTTTCATAACCAGTGCTGAATAAAAACGTCAATATCTTGGTCAAGAGTTTATTTCATTAATCTCTGCGTAGAATCGTGTTCTACGTTACTTTTGAGGGAAAAAAAAACGTGTACCAGAATGCTTAATTTCATACTTTGTTTAGTGGTCCATTCTACTTTACGAGGTGCTCGCAACTTGGCTGACTTTTGACGTCTTTTGTTCTCACAAATTCACACTTGTTCACTCGGATAACCTTAAATTGGCAAGGATTCAACAAAAATCAGCCTTACTAAATTAGATGTTGTCTGATTTCCTTCCATGATTTATTCTTTCAATAAAAACGTAAAGATCATTCTGACTTGAAATGGTGCTAGTATATTCGTTTTAAGCGTGCGGAAATGCACTTGAAGTTCCTAGGCATCATCAGACATTGTTTGGTTTTTATCGAAAAAATAAAACTTGAGAATGAATTATGCAATGTAAAATACAGCTAGGCTGATTCCACATATATCCATCCGATGCATCTTCTTCACTGTTCTCAATGCTACATTTGAACTACATTTTGCAATTTGGAACTATAAATTCTAGCCTGGTTTGAAAACAACGTATGTGCCTTTTGTCTCCCTATGCACATAAGTGTTTTCCCAGAAGAGTCAGAATTTATATTTCTAAAATGCAGTCCATTTCTCCTGCCCTCTTATTGTGAAAAACTGTATCGTCTTCTCCTAAAACGTCTGATAGTCAAAGAATTTTGAAAGACTTGATCTGCGATAATTCAGACTTTTGCTTTTGCTTTGCAACTCAAGAGTCCTCTAGACAGCCCTTCGCACGTCTAAGACTTCCGTAGAATTTTGAAAGCTTTGAGAACATCAAGGCTTTTAGAACTGAATGCAGCTTCTACTTTGCAAATTTATTTAGCAGGGAACACATTCATTGGTGATGGAATAAAAGGGAGAGAAAAAAATACATATTTCTTTGTATGTTTTTTCTCTCTTACTGTAACAAAATTGAATTAGTACTTAAAATAGGACAACACTATCATCTGGCAAAACGGTTAAGGAGTCTCACACGAACATTTTGGCACAAAGCTGCGCAATCATCAAACCAGAAATCATAAGTTAAAAAAAATATTTTGGAGTTGAAGAGGTTTTGGGTTTTGTGCTCCACTTTTTAAGGCTTAACATAGGTCGTTAGACAAAGTATTATTATACTTATTTTTTTGCCAAAATTTCATAAGGAAAATAATCACACAACAGAAAGTGTAGAGATCGACTCTCCAAACTAGCATTTGTTTAGAATTACCATTGGTTTAATGGTAAAAAAAAACGAATGATGCCATTTGTATGAGATAATCTTCATTTGAGCTGTGTTAAAAATACTTGTTACCATCTCATTCAGGAGTTGATCTCCAGATTTCCCGTCTTGTAAATCGTTTTCTATACATAAGATGTTGCAGAGAAAACATGGAATTTTTTTTTCTATTTCAGACCTCATGTAGTCACCCATTAGCATCATAATAAACTTATCCGCTCACAAATCATTCAATGGGATACTAACGTAAGTTTTTTGTTGAAAACTTAAATATTAAATTTTTAACTGGACAAAAATCCCCCTCCAAAGCAATTTGCCTTCTGAAGTCCCTTTCCGATGTACAATCAACCATCAGCACCCTGTCAAAATTGAATGATGCATAATGAATGATTATGTATCAAAGGAATATAGTCTCTCAAATAAATCACTAAACTTATCAAGTCGTTCATAGGAATTTTCTATTTGTTTCAATTTCAGACTGAACCTAATAAAGATGAAAATGGTGACGGAGACTCAGAATCGGAGTCGCAAAACTGGGAATCAAATCCAAAAGGAGAAGACCATTACGGAGATGATGACGAACATTTGCCACATGAACCTGAAATGGATTTAGATGAAGTAAGCTTGCCCTTGTGTCTCTTTCACATTCATTGATTCAAAACGGATTTTTTCATATATCTTGTTTGAAAAATAATTTTCCATTAGATATAATTGAAATATCTTAAATTTTGAATTGAAAACTTTAATTGAATCAGTGAGATCGAAAACACACCAACTCAAAAAAATAAAAATAATGAAGGCAGACACAAAACTGCACAGTAGGTGAAAAAGTTACTCCAAGAAAAAGACTTTTGGTGCCGAAAGACAAGTACTTAAGAACACGTTAAAGGTCCAAGCTGGAACAAATGCACTAACTTCATACCCATCATAAATATTGACTGTCTTCAATAAAAATTGAGTTTTTTCGAGTTATCGAGTTGGTGTGTTTTCGAACTCACTGATCCAATTATGATAGAATGAACAAATTTATACAGTTTTCAAGCTAGAGTGCATTTTAGTCAGGGTGTCTTTCATCAGTATAAACCGGAAAATCCAAAGAAATTTGATGTTATCAGAAAATGTCAGGAAAATCAGGCATGGATCAGGTGTCAACATGGAGTCAAGTCTGAGTGCTTCAAACATTTTTCGAACATTTGATTCAATCAATCAAATATGTTGACTTTCTAAGCATGTGAAGCGCCAATCTACTTGTACGAAAAATCAGAAAATCTCGTCTAAACTATCATGAAAATCCAAGCATTTAATTTTAGTAGACACCCTGGAAATCTACCAGTGAACCGGCAAATCATGAATTTGTTATGTGATGATCACAAACCGTGAAATGAATTATTTTTGTTCGTTTTTTATCAGACTTGAATGAAATAAAACATGTCTGATGGCTTTATGAATACTCATCAGCTATCTGTGATCAACACTAAAACTTGTTTATGAATTTTTGTCTCATGATTTCATTCTTATACTATTTTGCAGTCAAGTCACTTGCCTCACATGGAATCGTACTCAAGTCTAGCAGAAGAGGATCCACCTGGCGGAGAATCAACGCACCAGTCCTCAGTAGCACCAGGTTAGCCAGATCTTACCAGATCTATAGTTTTATTAAACATGCAGGCTTATTGATATTGATAATTTTTATCTCTGTGATCCTAAAATTTCTAATTATTTTGGTCAAAAACAGTAATATGGCAAATCTCAGATTATCCATAAAACTCCTGTAATATCCTGGAAAATTGAAGTAGTCTTTTGCATGAATGGTCCAGCAAAAACTCAGAGAGAGTATAGACGTGTTAAGATATGGAGCTCTAAGGACTCAAAAAAGCAGCCAACCCTCTAACACCAAAAACCGCTTTTACGTGAAGCTGACAAAGTTGGGTCTTAATAGAGAACTTATACAAGGAGAGTACGGACATGTAGAAATTAGAGTACCTTTATACTGAGAGTAAAGACAATACGAATCCATTTTTGACTGGTTCCCTTAATTTAGGCCTCCATAGTGTCACAAACGGGAATGAAGATTAAAAATATTCACCAATTGCAAAGATTACAAAGTGAAATGGACCAGGGAATTAGGGATATGGCAAGGAACAAACGGAATGAGAAAAGGAATGGAGATAGGAATTCGGGAATGAGTTGATCAAAGATTACGAAAAACATTCAAGTTGTGTTTGTGATATCCGTAAGCTATGTTGTCTTAACTCTCTCTATAGAGGAACTAGTCAAAATAAGGAGCACATAGGGCCCAAAAGGCCAGCCAAACTTCTGACATATAAAATGTCTGCCAACCTTCGGATTCCAATATTAAACTGAGATGGCCAAGAAGTTCTAGTAGGAGCGTTCATCCGCCAAAAAGAGCAAGTTTACACAAAAACAAGTCAAATACATGCTTTAAAAACAACCGGTCATAACAATTGTAGTATTAAATCACTCTAAATAATTTGAATTCACATGTTGGCCGCTCTTTTGGGCCCTAAAAGCTCTACGACCTAACCTCAAAATTACCGATACATCCAAACTCTCCCTACGTAGGTACTCCAGCAGAAACCATCTATAACTGCCTTTAAAAAGCTTTCACTTTGCTTTTCTACAAATTCAAATTCTTTTTTTAAAAGTCAGCCACAAATTCAAAATAGTTAAGGTTGTATGATTCAATTGGTCATCTAAAACAAAATTATTGTGTATGTGTGACGGTCCTCAGTAAAAGATACCAGAGTCCACAAAAACTGCAAATTGTGTTATCAATACCATAGTATAGAAGAAGATTCTACAAACATTTGAAGACAAAAAGTGCCTGAAGATATTTAACCAAATAGGAGTTATGGCGGTTCGCAGTTTGCTGAACAAAAAACCTAGTTTGGACACAATGTGAAAAAAAACTTTATCTATTATGTTCAGGGCACAGATTTGCCAGATTTTAATGCAATCTCTCTCTCAATTTTGACACTGAAACTGAACGAACTGCTCACAATATGGTCTCGAAAATATTTTTAAAAGTTTTCTGTTGAAATATCAAAATCCAATTTTACGACCCAACTCAACAAGAATCACTGTACCAAAAATGTTTCCTGCTAGGACCAAGGTCCCTTCTCCTGTGGATGGTGACAAATAATATGTTCAAGTCCTTTTTACTTATGGTATCATGAATCTTGTGCACATTTTCCGGTCTTAAACAGAGAGGAGTTCTGTTACAGATCTTAGCGGATACTCAGATGTAATTAAGATGAACGACTATATCGAATCCGGGGGAAGGCGACCTCACTTCTGGGAGGAGCCTTGGACCAAGAGAGTAATGGAAGCAATAAAGAACAAGGAATTAGAAATGAAAGTTGCCGCAGAGCTGATGGGAGTTTCCTACGGTACACTTTATGGAAGATATCGAGATGCCTACGGCTGCCTTAAACATCCTTACAGGTTAGTCAGTTGAGCAATCAATCCCTTTTTTCTCTTGTCAAAACATCCAAACTTACCTCAAATTATGTACAAATTACAGTCCCTTAATGCTGAGAGTACCGCAATGCAAAATCCATTTCTGATTGGCCTCTGTTATTAGGCCTCATGAATGTCATGAACGGCAAAAAGATTCCACCTTCACCAATTTTAAAGATTATAACCCAACATAGATTAGAGAACTAAATGTACAGCAGGGAACTAACGTAATGAGAGAGGGATGTAGGTAAGGAATCCAGGAATGAATCGATCGAAGATTACAATAAAGGCTACAAACTGTATAATCTGCCTGGCTGTTAGTGACATCCATGCCCCAAGATTGCGCGATATTTGGTATGAAGAGGTAGTATAAGAGGGTTTTCAACGTTTGAATTTTCGTTCTAAAACAGCTGAAAGTATGTTTACCGATTCCAATCAATCCCCGTGAATGGGTCCAGCTTGCCGTTACAAAAACTCCCAAAAGCCGCCTAGTTTTAACATATTATTTTCTCAGTTTCTAATAAAATTTTGAGATTATGTCGAGCCAATTCACATGAATATTTATAAAATAGTTTCAATTAATCTATTTAATACCAAGTTAATTAAGGCAGAGAATAGAAGATCGTTGGAAAAAGATCTAGGTTGTTTTTTTTCTCATTTTTTTCCCCTTTCATTGAAAGTAACATTTGAAGAAAAAGAAAACTGAAAGATTATGTAAAATGAAATCTAGAACACTTGCTCATGGTGTCACAGTAGCTCTCATTCCAAGCACTATAAAAGTATGAGGTTGTTGTAAATATTCACTTAGAGTGAACACAAGTAATGTTTCAATTTTTTGAGCTTCTATGGACACCAGCTTTTGTCCAGCTTGTTTTTTGTTGTTTTGTTATCCTGCTTGCCGTGACAGTTTTTGTGATTTACTTCAAAAGTTTTTGAAAAATTGAATCAATAACTGGTTTTTAGAATTCAGCCATACAAATTTAGTTCAAAAAATGTTTATTCTATTTTATATTTGAGTGTAATGATCCTTGAGACCAAGTAATGAGAAGTAGCTGCACATCCTTAGGCTGGAAAGTGAGCAAGACGGAAGATATCACTCGCTCTTGCTCCTGTTTCAACAAATCTGTTGTACCGCAGTTTCCTCTGCTGGTAATTTTAAAAAATAATCTCTGTTGTAATCACTCAATTTTCATAGGTTTCTTAAAGGTGATTTAGTGAAAATTTAGAAGAATTACCTACCAGAATATATTGTCCCCCATCCATCCTGTAATACCACATCCTCCTCTACCTTTGCTATAACCCTACATTCCCCTATTTCTAACCTCTACCACATCTTTCGTTTCTAACAACTGCATGCACTTACGGAGGCTTCATTTGGTTCATGGGGATGTTTTTTTGCGAGAATTCAGTACCTTTATTTAATCTCCATTTACTTCCCTTTTTCTGACACACAATAGGCTAGAGGTCCTGTCAGGGAAAGAACCACCCTCCCGTCTGTTGTACGGCAGTTTCCCTAGGTGAGTCCCCTGTCAAATTAAATCACTAACTTCCTCATGGTGGATCCATATGCTTTAGTTCAGTTGTCAGTGTTTTGCCGCCATATCCGTTTACTCATGATTGCTGAGGCTCTGTGATTAAGCTGCAGCGTTCTACCTTCTCGTGTAAAACATGGTTTCTAAAACTAGGATTTATCCGGGAATGAAATATTTAAGGGAAAATCTGGGAATTTCTTGTTCTATCGCTTGGAGACCATTTCGTTTTCAAATTTTGGAGAAATTTTAAGTACCTCTTCAACACAGTTTATGTTTATCGCACCTCAGCCACTATTATCGTCCTCTTGAATGACATATTTGAACCTTCAAATCATCACACTATTAAAGAGGCATTCATTGACCAAGGAATGTAAACATCAGGAACGCTTTTAGAGTTAAAAATTTGAATGTGTGCCACAGTATTGGTTGAAAGATGAAACAAACTCAATATTCATATCTAGAAATCCGTAGCATTATATAGTTTTCTCCAAGAAAATCCTCGTAGAATTGGGAGAAAACTTCTGTTTCTCACGAAGGAATAAGCTCCTGAAAATCAGGGAACAAGCATAGTCAAGAATTTCAGACACCATGCTGTAAAGTCCCGAAAGCTACCTGGGCGGGAAAGTCCAATTTTTAGGAGCCAAATCAACTTTTTGCATGCTGTATGCTAGTTTGATCCACGTCTCTGTCCTGTTCTCGAATCCTCTCATTCTCAGGCTGTGCCGCCATGCTGGAAACAGTCTGTTGACTGCTGCTCTGCGATAGTGAGATTGAAAAAATTGGCAGGGTGTGACAACTAGATGCCCCAGTAGCCATGTTCTCCCCCCCCCCATTTTTGGGCGCCATAGTCCAATTTCTAGGCACATTTGGCTCATGGCGCCCGAGGCAGGCAGTGTTTGGAACTATTTCAATACAACCAATGTGCATACTTTTCCCTAAAACAAAAATCCCTCGAAATCTCATTTTAAGTTGTTGTCTGGGTATGCACATCATAATTAAATCAGTAGCTTGTAAATGGGTGTTAGCAGAAAATTTCCATTTTTTGTGTGCAATTCTAAGCCTTTGGAAGGGTACTTAGTATTTTCTAAAAAATTCTTCTTATTTTTGGGGAGGGAGGGGGAAAAAGGAACGTCTCTAAATTTTTGTTTTATTGTAAAGGCTCTCTACTTCCACAACGAAAGTGTGTGATAAAATCTCAGGTTTTCCCCTATTTTCTCAAAAACAAGGCGCACTTTAGATCAAAATTTTAAATTTACCTAAGAGGGCAACAAACATTTTCCCACAGAAAAAATTACCTCAGAACTTGCAAACAGATATTAACGAATCCTTCCAATACTTTAAAAAAATTTAGTCATCCTACTAGACAAGAAAATTAGTTTTTTGCCTCTACTGTAAAATGTAGTCTTGTCGACAATATTTTCCTGCCAAAAATCGATTCAACTTTTTCTCAGATGAGCAAAATTTGCATCCATAATTCATACAGAGGAATTTTCAATGTTCAAGTTTTGAGTTCAAAATAAAACATATAAAACAGATTCATAGAGTAATAGTATTTTCAAACTTAGCACACTAATAAGGGATGAAAATAGGTTAAAGTCAAGTCAATTGGGTGGTTTAATTAGAGGCTACCTTAGTTAAATTGGAATAATAATCTTGTAAATTGTTACTGCAGAAAAAAGGTTCAGTGTTGATTTTACCCTTCATTATCACCATACTCCACTTATCGTCTCAGAAATGGGGCAACATTTTTTGTTTCAATATCTATCATACCCTGAAGCGCCCTCCCTCTCCCACCTTAGTTTCTGCTACTTTCCCCTTTATTCGATACTTTCTGTTGTAATCTCTTGAATTTTTTGGTGTCGTTACATGATTCTGAAATTCAAAATAAAATGCAAATAAATATGTGACTGAGTCATTGAAAAAGAAATTTTAATTGTAGATGAAGAAGCAAAAGAAAAATAAATGAGTATCTTTATCATTGCTCTTTGTAGAGTTATTGCATAGTTTTCATCTAAGTCAATTTCTTGGAAGATTTGATGGTTTGAGGACAGGAAATCACAAATGAACGAATGTAGATTTGCAAATTGTAGATAATTTCAATGAGAAAAGTTTACTCCAGGATCGTCCAAAAATGGCCTTTGCTCAAATATCCTCTAAATTTTGAATGGAATTAAATGTCTGTTCTCATTCAAGAATTATCGATGAAATAATGTCTTGACTTTCATTTGTCACCGAAGAACATAATTATGTACCATGTATTATTAGGAGCTTAAATAGTCAGCAATGCTAAATTTAGGGTTTCCAGGAGTCAGAAAAACCTGGAAACTCTGGAACATGCAACCTGGAAAAGTACGGGGAAGTCAAGAAATTTTGAGAGCATTGCTCAGCATAAGTCAGCGTAAATAAAATGAAACAAATCCAAGTGGAAGTTTTCTTCGAAGGTCAGAGAATTCGAAAGTTTTATAGTCACAAAAAACAAAAGAAGTCTGGAAAGTCAGTGAATCAAAAACTCATGAAATTATAGATACCCTGTAAATCTTGCTTTCCACGGAAACAGCTGCAGGCTGATTATTGAAATTGATAGACAAAACTATAGATAAAAAGGATCAAAGGGATATCAAGGGATCCTTTTGATGGAAGTGAGTGGTTGCAATGGTCAAAGAAGGTAGGTAATAGATTAACCGACGGCAACCCACGAGAGACCCCATAGTTAGCCCATCAATTATGCCCTTAGTCTATAAAAAGCACCCATTTCAACCATTAGGATCGCTCCATACTCCCTATGTCTTATTTGTCTCCAGCTTTGTCTATCAATCTCAACAATCAGTCTGCTGATGGACCTATAATTTAGAAAAAATGAAAAACAAATTGAAAACTAAATTCTTAACTCTAAGAAAATGCAATAACAAATCAAGTGAAGACTTGTATTTTCACTATAAGACACATTTTTAAAAGGGTCATAAAAGGTGCTGCAACTTCGGACAAACATTTTCACCAATTTATGCTTTGTTTTTACAGAGTTAGAGAATTCTGGGCTGAGCAGGGTCCTGCGGAGGTGTTAGCAAAATTGCAACGCAAGGAGATCACACTGTTCCGAGCGGCGGAGATGCTGAATGTGACTGTGACGACACTGGCCAACTACTTATCTACGCTGCGTCCATCTGGCGAGGTGCAGCCTGACCTGGAGGAAGAAGCCTATGATGACCGGATAGCAGACTCACGGCAAGAGCTTCACAGCTCCGATCTCCTCATCCTCTCTAATGGCACTGGGGCAGAGCACTGAAAATTGGCCCGACGGCGGTGGCTGGTTAAGTCGCTTTTTCGGAGGTAGTGCTGCTCCCGTCCGCCGTCGTTAACTGTGAAGCCCAATAGCTGCTGTTTCGCCCTCTGAGGTGGCATCAGCAATCTTCTCCAAAGATACACCAATAGACAGGGCCTAGTTTCATTTATTGCACTATGATGGAATCACTTTGATTGGGTGAGAGGCTAGCTCACAGGAAGCAAATCTGAGGCGGCTAGGCTAATTAGCTCAACTCGTATCAAGTTTTGCGCAATTTTGCCTTCAACCCTTTGAAATATGCTTGCTTCCTCAGTCCTTCCATTAAAGTAGGAGGCAGAAGCTCTGAGAATCAGGAATGACCAAAACTTTTGAGACGACTCTGATTTTTTTGAAAGATTTTTCAACAGAGCCAATAGAAGTACCTAGCTCTAGCATGATGTGGATTTTTCCAAAAATCAAAAGAATCTTTTCGTGGCGAAACTTCAAGCCGCCTCAGAAAATGGGAACACCGACCTTTCAAGCAAGTTTTGTTGGAATGATGTACTGTGTCTCAGATGAACTTCTTGTCAAATGCCAGTAACGTCCAAAAACAAGGGAGCTTTAATTTTATTATTCAAAAACATAATCTAAAGCCCTCCAAATCACCATATTTTGTCTGTTGAAAGACAAAAAATATTCAGTCCTGCTCTAATATTGCAATTTCTTGATATGATAAAATGAAGCAGGAAAAAAAAATTGAAATTGGTTCCAAAAATAATTTTTACCATCTATGTGGAACGAAGAATCATACATTTCCTGGCACCCTCTTTTCTCATATTTTTGTTTCTTTGAATTATGCCAGGTGTCTATTCCCATTAATTATTTGCACGTGTGTAGCTACTTTCTTATCCTTTCATTGGTCGATGTCCTTTATCAGTGATCAAAAAGCATTTCGGGTCAAATAAAAAAGGCTGCTGCTTAACATCACAAAACTTCATAGGTAAAACTGTTTTATTGCCTCAACAGAGTAAGCGGAGGCAATTCCTTATCGTTTATTAGTGAAGGGAGAGGTGATATTTTTTATTTGTTGTCTGAAAACTTGTTGACTGGTCTTACAAAAGTGCACCCTTGAAGTTTTTCCATTTATTTTTAAATGAACCCTGCATCAGATAAAGAATATGTTTTTATTTCCTAGCGTCTTAGAGGAATTGTGAACGTTTACCAAAAACTATTTACTTTCAAATTAAGTGCAAATTCAAACCACCAAACTTGTTTTATTTTATTTATTTTTTTTTTTTGTTCACGGAGAAATGACATTTTGTGTTTTCAGTGTATTTTACTCCTTTAGTTCTTAAGAAACTGAACTGTGACTTTTCCTCTCACTGGATTCCACCCGCTGATATCACCAAAGTTCAGATTATCCTTACTCTTGTAATTATTGACTGATTAAATCAGTACTCTGACTCGAGTCTTGAGTCGTTTCTTCTGCTGCGAGCTGCATTTTCCTAGTTTTGAATAATCGCCGCCTGGCGTAACAAACTCAGAGACTTTCGCCTGAAAACCTCCAGGGCCCTGGTGAAGGAGCAACACTTGTAGAGACCAAGTTCTTCAAGAGGTTCATGGAGCAGCTATCTCTGATTTGCGCAGATTCTGGGAAAATGTGGTTTTGCTAAAATATCTTTGGTCTGGGGTCCTGTGTTTTCTTTTTACCTTGGTTCTTCTGTTCTTTGAAATGAAATGACTTTTCAATTGCCTTAAAAAGACAATTGTAGTTGGAGAAGTTTAGACTATTTGCTTTTGTGTATCTTTTTGAATCTAAAAGATTTTAACTAGTTACTTTGTACACATTTACGCATGCACTTATCACTCGTAAGTTTATAGGGAGTGCTTTTTCTTTTATTTTATGAAAAACACGAGAGTTTTGTAAATTGATTACTGTAACTGTTGCAAGAAAACATTTTATTTTGGTTGTCAGTCATTTTTGGGAAGAGATGTAAGGCTACCTTCACTCAGAAAAAATTTCTCCGAAGCCTTTAAAATCGTAAAGGAGTAACCTATGAATCGCTTACTTTTTCCAATGGTTCATAACAATTAAATTTCAATTGGCTCAGTGGCACCGTTTTTTTAAAAAAAATCATTTTCTGAAAGTACGGGGTGAACCAAGCCTCTAGGATTTTTTAAACTTTAAATGGCAATGAAACCCTGTTTCAAAAATGCCAAAACTGGGACCTTTTTGAAATGATAATTTAAGCGGGCTCTGATGACTTAGCCAGGCGGGGAAACGGGGTTTGCTGATTGGCTGAACTCGGCTTCAGGCACCGCCTTACTACATCAACATGAATTCAAATTAGTCAGAATTTGATCAGCTTATTCTCTCCATAGAAATGATTTTTTGAATTTTCCAATGATTCCTTTGGGTTTTTCACAAAATTTAACACGGGAGAAACCATTCAACAACCCTGCAAAAATTTCTTGCCACTGCCCTATTGCATCGAAGTGCCAGCAGCCAGCTTTTTGAAAGTTAACGTTCTCTTATATGTAGAAGCACCTTCTCTCATGAATTAGTTGTCCCATCAAAAACTCAATTTTCAAAAACCCTGGTTTACGCCTTTTTAAAAAAACTTTAAAATTCACTCAGCTTTTTTAATGTGAGGACTGAAACTCAATCATTGTGGTTTATTTTTTTTTCTTTTTTATAGTTTTTATCAATTTTATTAATGGCTTTACATCACTGATTCCCTTCACTGAATCTTTCATATTCTTGGACAATGATTTCTGACTTGCCTAATGTAGTTTCAATCATTTGCTAAGTAGATACTGTAGCGATAATTTTTCTCGTGATGATGTAGGAAATAATTTGTATCTGGACAAGTTCAGTTGTTGTAAAATTCCTCAAACAATGAACAATTGATCAAAATTTCAAGAGATTGTAAAAACTGACCGTAGATTTTTTTTTTTTTACAGAGAAGGTTTTATTTCTTTAGACATAAATGGAGGTTAGAGGCCTGCAATTCAGAAAAGTGCAATTTTTTTCTTCTATTTTAAGCTTTTAAGTTTTTAGTCAAAGTTAATATAAATTTCTTTTCAAAATTCGTTTGATCTCCCTGAAAATGATTGAACATCCGCAGTTGAAAAGATTAGAAATTCATGCCGTTGCGAAATCTCAATCTGAATGTGTGTTCTTTATGCTAAGTTGCATCATTTGCACCATCAAATTTTCTTGAAGACTTAGCATAACTCAGATGTTGTATCTCAGTTTAGTCGGTAGCTTTCGTTTCCTTTGATTTGATAGCTGCAGCAAGCTCCATCAATATGCTGCTTTTAACCAATTTTGAAAATTGAACATCTAAGTCTCGTTATCTGCTTTTATTTGAAGCAGCCGCACTCTGGAACCCTGCAGCATATTGTATTTAAAAATATAACCATTGTATTATACAGCTCAGTAGCTGAGGAAGGTATAATTTGATGGTGTGATGGTGTCTAGTTGAAAAAATTGTTGCTAAGTCAAGATGAAATCTGTAAAACAGAACCCTCGGACAAAATAACTACTTCGTATTGTTAAGTTTAGCAAATGAAGAAAACTATTTATTTGTAATCATAGTTTGTGCCAAGGCAAATAAAGATTTCCTGATTTTTTTTTCTTCTTTTTTTTTCATCTGGTAATTTTTAGTTGCCGGGCCACATTGTCCATTTTATGCTTGTTATATCGTTAGGAAGTATGGAAGCTGGCGTGTCAGTATTGTGGTTTTTTTTTCTCCCCCCTCAAAAAGTAATGTATTTTAATTCTGTAAATAGCACCCCACTAGTAGATCAATGTCTGATGCTCGTCAGTCTGTACATTTAATTAATTATTAATTAATTAATTATTTTATCGTAGCCTTTTTTAAACTATGCTTAGGTCTGTATAGTATATTCCAACTGCATCTGAACTGCACATATCCTTAGTTTTGGTTTAGGAGTAGAGTGGAAAAAAACAGAAACTCTCGTCTACTTTGCTGAAAGTTCTATCTTTTTCTAATTTTATAATTAAATATTTCCTTATGAATAGAAAAAAGTTGATTTGTCGCAAACAGTGCTCAATATTTTTGCATAAAAATGTTTTCAGGGTGTCAACAGGGTCGGGAGAAAGATCAGGGAGAGTAATTTTATTGGAAAATATCCGTCGAAATAGAGGAATCTCTTTTTGGAGACAGAAATATTTTCCTCTGCTTGATTTCTCTCCATTTTTCAAATTTGTATGTCTGTTGGAATAGAAACGTTATCAGACGTTGATTAATTTGAAGAGGGAACAAACTGAGTGCTTTGAGTTGTCTATGTAAGTAATAGTAACATCGTTCAGCTTTCAAAGCATAGGAATTTGCACACCTAAGCCTGTAGACACTCTGAGAATATTGCATTCCAGTGTGCTTGCCCCTGAGTACCAAAAATAGACCATCCGTCTTACTGACAACTTGTAAATCAAAGTTACATGGACATATTTATACAAAGTAGTCTATCTACATCATTTATAATAGAGTTAGGCCGCTTTTTTATAATTATGACTGTTTAGATTTTTGAACAGCTAGACCTAACTCTGTTGAAATATTGATGATTCTTCTTGAAAATTTAAAAAAGCACTTAAGAAAGGTCGATTTCTCTCTTTTCAGATAATATCAAAATTGATACCGTACTTACTTGTTTATTATGTGTATTACGCGCGAGTAAATACGGTATCAAAGAATCATTGTCTATTTCACTGCAAGCAACTGTCATCTCTACAAAGTATTTTTATGAATCAACTTTTCATAGACAGTGCAAAAAAAATTAAGTACAATGCACGACAGACTTTTTTCTTTTTTTTTCATTAAGTTGTTTCGATTTTTATCTTGCATTTTTAAATGATAGTGTTCTTATCAAGACTTAAGACATCCTGGGTTTGATCAGGCAATCAGCTAGAGCCTTGCCTGATTCGTTCTGATAGTTACCTAATTGACTGATCCTGTAGAATTACTGATTTGAGTTTAGCAATTTCCTGATCCACGAGAGCGACTCATACTTTGCAAAACACCTCGTCTCATGTCTCACTCATGCACTGCTTTTTGTACATACTCCTGCATCACTGAAGCGGAGGCTCGCAACCCTTGTTCCAAAACAAATGTACATATATATTTTACTACATGCAAACATTCATACTTAATACATTTATATTTTTTTTATTTATTTATTTCCCTCTGTGTTTCTTGTCTATTATATAGATTTAAAGCCTTCTATGCACAGCTTGAGTAGAGCTGCAAGATGCAACATGACGAAGAATTACTGTAGGCCTTTTTGGCATGTTTTCACTTGGATCTACCTAACCTCAAACTTTGTAATTTTTTGTGCAAGCCCAATTTAAATGAGGAAGCAGTGGTCTCTTAATTATCTTAATCGAATCAGTGAGAATGAAAACACACCAACTTGGTAACTCAAAAATGCTCAATTTTCATTAAAGTCAGTCAAATTCATAAAGGTCACCAAAGTTAACGCATCTGTTATTGTTCGGACCTTTGAAGTGCCCTCAAGTACTTGTTTCTTGGCACCAAATATATTTTTTTTGGACTAGCTTCTTCACCTACTGTTCAGTTTTGTGTGTGTCTTGATTATTTTCATTTTTTCGAGTTGGTGTGTTTTCGTTCTCACTGATTCAATTGTAATTACTCATTCGCCTTACTTGATGGGCAGAAATGAGAGCTGTTCTTTCCATTTCCTTGACAAAGAAATAAAGGGGGAATGTCCATTTATTAGGCCAAAACCAGGACACCAGGCAGGAGACCACTATTTTCTCTCGTCAAGCTTGCAGCCTGTGAGCCATTGCATCAGAATTATTGCCCTTAAATCCTAATTCTGTCGCTAATAATTCAATACTCATTTTATTTTAGTGTTAAGTACTCAACAACCAGTGAATCGTCCCTGCTTCTATCGTTACATAGTCTGTTAAAATTGAACCATGTGAGTTCCATCCTCGAAGAGATTTTACCGTCAAATTTCGGAGGAGAGCAGCTAGTCCGCTTTTGATGAAAGTGTGCCGAAACAGACAAATCAATTAATCATCACCCTATGTTCCTTTTTGTGCCCTGTTATGCCAGATGCTTTTTTTAGTTTAGTACATTTTCTCTTACCTTATGAGCCGCACTGTCATGCCGAAGAAGTACGCTATATGAACTTTCAAGTGTTGCAAAATGTCTCCCAATAATGTATTTATTTTTGAAAAAAACTAGTAAACATTTGCCTTGAAATTTTCTGATATATTGCATGAATCAAATTCTTTGAGTTAAAAAAAGAGTAATTTTCTCAAAATTCAAATACTATCAGAAAGAATTTTCCAATACTCCAATGATCTTTTGGCAGCATACCCCCCCCCCCTTTTCTCCTTTTGATTGTATGAATTTAAACGCTTTTTATGGGTCAAATCTGATCAAGTCCCAGAGAATATTTATTTTGTATTTAAATACTGTAAATTTTTTCTTTTTCCTTTGATGCTTTCAAATCGTGAAATTTCCGTTTTTTTCTCTTAAAACTTTTCCCTAGTCCGCATGATTAGGTTTAGCCAACATTAAAAAATGCATAATTACGTTGTAATCAATCCATGACTCTGTTGTTATATTTACCCACTGTATCCGTTCTTTACAATCATCGCACCTATCAATCTCGAACTTTCACCCCACAAATTTTTTTCTTTGTCAAGGAAGTATTATTCTTGTGGAAAAAAGTGTATTATTTTTTTTTTAGAAAGGATATTTTTCGTCGCTGGAATCAATAAATCTTTGCATAATTTTGTATGTTCTGACATCTTTATTTTACTGACTTAATGGAAAATAAATAAAACTTTTGTTCGTATTAAATGACAACCCATGTCGATTCTTTGTCGAAAAGAGAGCTTTCAAATACTATGTAATTGTCTCAGAGGGTAGGAGCTTCAGACTTGCCTAACGGTGCATCGTTGAAAGAGATAAAAATTATACTCATGTCAGGGTGTCTACTAACTCAAAAAACTGGAAAAAAGAACCAGGAAGATATATGAGAAATAAACGCTTCAAAGGGAAGACGAAGCTGATTAAAGCCTGACCAATCAGAGACTAGTCGTGATAATGCATGTAGGTCAAGTCTTCAGTTGGGCTTGAGCCAATCAGCAAGTGCAGACTACTTCGCCTGCCTATGTCGTAACAGCTATCCAAAAACATTTTTTCAAATTGGTCTGGATTTTCGCAACTTCAAAATCGATGTTTGCTGTTATTTCAAGTAAAAGGTAATCTGCAATAAATTACTTTAAGCTCAACTCACCCAGTTATTGAAGAAAAACCCAAAAAAAGAAGGGGGGGGGGG